GGGGGGGGTGTTAAGGGCGCCAAAACATGGTTTCGCCCAGGCCGCCAAAACTTCTTGCGCCGGCCCTGCTTACAAAGCGACATGATCACAGTAGCACTTAGTCTGATAGGAAATAATATATTCTAAAACGATTTACACTATAATAATACGCTTAGATAAGTTTAATATATTTAAGATAAACTAACGATATGCTATTTCTGTATCAGGTGTTACTTTTATAGATCAATATTAAGTCGCATGTATAGTTTGTTAATAGTTATTTGATTTAGAACGTATAGGTATTTTAAAATATTCAAGTAGAGATATAGGTATACATTTTGAGAAGCATATTTTATTATTTTCGCTCAAAGAAAATCAGTTTTAAAGATATATTGACCATGTATCTGACTAAAATAGATAAGTAAATGATATTTCTCAGGTACAAAAAACCGACTTTGGCATTATATTCAACAACAAGTAGACTACAATACTTAAAATACTACAGTCTGAAATCGCCATAAACTACAAAGRCGTATTGCTGTGCATTCATGAATAATATTTTTAAGAAACATATTGAAAAAACTATCGAATTCACTGAACACAATAATCATGATTGTATAGCAGGTCTAAGATAAAGTATAAAGGGTAACCCTGGAATCTAGTTCAGTTGAGAATCTATGATATAATTTTAAATAAAAACCGGAATTGTGATATATTGTTGACCGGAAGCGGTTACGCGAGGTAAACGCGTATGACTACACCTATATWATGTATTTGTGTGATGATCACTGCATCAAAAATCTTTACAAACTACTATGGATGTTTTAACAAAGTAGATATTGCCTTGTTTTTATTTTTCGACATAACAATCAAAATAAGWAGGTATATTAAATATTTTGCCTCAGCGTAGGTACTAAATTCGTAATAATTAAAAACTAATGACAATGTCAATATTATTACAACATCTGGTACATTCTGATTAAATCTGTAATTTTTGTTATTTTTATTATTTATTCGTTTTTGAAATAATTAAACCACATAATAATTATGATACCTTATGATACAATATTTACAACTACTTGAGTCCATCTAATCATTTTAAATATGATATGGCAATGTATAAAATATGTAAAATATGTATTGCCAAATATCCAAATATATAGGTTAATATATTGTTTATAGATGATCACAAGTTCTAGGTTTTTGTTTTCATGACAGAAAATATTTCGATGATTCAACGCATTTATAATTCAAACTTAAATAATAGGCACAACATTTTAATTAATTGTCATATTTTTTATGCCWATACCTACTCATATCTAAATATGACGTAAAACATAATCGAACAATCAGTGTCTAGTGATTAACGTTTAAAAAAAAAAAATCATTGCTTAGTATTTCTTTTCCCCGCTGAACCTACTTTCGTTTTGTTTGCTTATAAACAAATCAAAAAAATCAACGAAAATCGTATTAATTAGGTTGGGTTGACTGCACACCATTCCGTGGCCATTGTCGTTTTCCTTGAAATGAAGCTTGAATATATCAACAGTCAACACAATAGAATGCACAAGTATTAAATACAGAATTTAACTATCCAATACTGTTTTTAAACTTGGATAAATATCTAAGCACTTAAAAGTGTTCCTAAGTCATCATTATTGATAATTTATATTTATTATTCAAGCTCCGAGTTTGTTCATGACCCATAAATTATAATATACATATACGAAAGCAAACTAAAACCGTCAATAATTGTTTAATGTTTTTACATAACAATATTTCTATTTCATACAAAACATAGTTATCAAAACATTTATGTTACCTACACAAATTTCACCATTATTATAAAACATTACTCTAACTGCAAATAAYCTAATATAGACCATATAAAAWTTTTAGAATGAATTTAACATGTCAAATGGTGAAATAAAAACACATAAATCAATAATTGATTCTACAGTCTGTTAAGCAATCCGTTGAGTACTTAACTAGCCAAGTAAAAAAAAAAAATACACTACAGATGCCAAAAATCCATAATAAGAACATGCATTATACACTCATTAAAAAATAATCTTAGCTGAGCAACTGAACGTTGAAAATATTCAAAGCAAATATAGGTACCTTAAAATGTTTTTAATGTGAATATTATATTTAGTTTATATGTTTCGTATAAACTCCAAATATTTATAATACGAATCGAAACATTCGAAACACGTAAGCATTAAGCATACTCTACTCTTATATACTATTTTATATTGTATATTTAAGTCGTGAAAATTTTTGGCAGTGAATGATGTGTAAAAATGTGTTTATAACAAAAGAATTGCACAGAGTTTCTTATACTGACGTGGCCAGRTCACGACTTATTTGGTCGTGGTTGTTTTTGAAATAAAGTATAATACTAATTTTCTATCAGCAAACGTCGATCGGATAGTAAATTGTGAATGAAATGGGTTAGATTATAATACAG